ATCTATCTATCTATCTATCTATCTATCTATCTATCTATCTATCTATCTATCTATCTATCTATCTATCTATCTATCTATCTATCTATCTATCTATATTATATGATCTCTCTGATCTATCATTACATCCACATCTCACCCTCTCACATCACAATAGTGTTTCCTAGTATTATCGACCGAAGAGGTATGAAGATACACGAAGTCTCCCTACACACAAGATCGATAGTTTAACATAGCGAGCGGAGTCAAGTAATAGCGACGCCCTACATTTCCACAATACGGGCAGGCAATAGAAAACTAAGGGTAGAGGGCGAAGAAAGAGAAAGGGAGGAGGAGGAGAGAAAAAGGTTGGGAGGGAAGAGAAAAGGGAGAGGGAGAAGAAGAAAAGGAGAGGGAAGGGAGCAGAGGAAAAAGAGACGGAGGAGTGAGGAGAGGAAAATGAGAGGGAATGGGGAGAGAGGAAAAGGAAAGGAGATGAAAAATGAGGGGGAGGGAGAGAGGGAGAAAGACGACAGAAGCAATTGGAGGGAGGGGAAGGGAAAGGAGGAAAGAAGAGAAAAAAAGAATGTGAGCCAGAGAGAGAGAGGGGGGGGGAGAGAGAAAGAGAGAGACAGACAGACAGACAGACAGAAAGACAGAGAAAGAAACAGAGAGAGAGAGAGAGAGAAACAGAGAGAGAGAGAGAGAGAGAGAGAGAGAGAGAGAGAGAGAGAGAGAAGGGGGGGGCGGTACTTGCAACAACAATAGGTGGTGTTGCAGTAAGCAGTAGAAGTGGTCGTACAATGTACAAAGTGCCAAAGATTAGAATGATTCTTGGAGAGCAACATACAAATAAAAGGAGGAGACATAATGAAGATAGATGTTTAATAGGAAATAAAAAGCAAACCACATCGACCTATGAGAGTGAGGGGGAGGGGCGGACTGCATTAGTCGCAGAAACTTGCAGAGACAATGAGTGTTTTTGTTTTTATTCTTTTGCCTGTTTTGTTTTCAATGTAGGCGTTTTTACGCCACCGTCCACATAATTTTGATCATCAACTAAAAATCAGTGCAATAAAGGTGAGGAAGGCGAGGAGGTGTGTGTGGGCGGGCGATAGGAGGCGGAAGATGGAAGTAGATTTTGCATGGAATGGGTGTGGGGGAGGGGCTGGAGGGAACAAAAGAGCAGAGGGAAAACCCAAAAGATGAATTAGAAGAATTATCGGGGGTG